TAGTCAATTGCAAAGATAGATTCATATTTTTATATTCATTGTTTAAACGGCTCATATTACTCTAGTTTCTGATCTATGTTATAATGTTGTTTCCTCATCAAAAACGTACTTAGAGTTGTGTTTTGTTTCATTCACACTTTTAACACACAAACCTGCATATTTAGGTTGAGTTCTTCTCTCAGACAGAAACACTCCATGTGTACAGGAAGTGCTCCACTGTGTTTTTAAACTCCATACACCTTCACTAGAATCATTTGGATAATTTCACACCTGGAATTTTCAATTTCTACTGAACTAAAGGTAAGAGAAACTTGAAATCTACTGTTTCATGACACCACAAGGTGAAACAGAGCATTTTGAGTTTTGGAGATGTAGACAGAGTTAGGGCTGCTCGATTATGCAAAAAATCATGATTATTTTGGTCAATATTGAAATCATGATTATTAAAACGATTATTTTTTAGTTACACGATGCATTTATTCAGCATTTTTCTCTTAAAAGAACACTTTATTATTGATCATTTACGCAAAACTTTCAAATTGAAATTAAATATAGGCTACAAATATGCATATTAGAGCAGTTTTGTGATGTATAAAATATAAAATCAATATAATATAGTTTGAACATGAAATAAGGCATAGAAAAGCATAAATAAACTATATATCCAGCTGTTCTACAATCTCTATATAAAAAAAATAAATAAATATACTTATTTATATAAAAAATATCCCAAAATAAACTTTATTAACTCGATTATATGAGTTTGGAGATTGTTTGACACACAAATCAAAATCACAAACAAAATTCAGTTAATTGCACAGCCTTAGACAGAGTAATAATAACGTGTTCCTCAAACTTGTGTGAATGAAACTTCAGGCATGTTGTAATGAGGTAACAACATTCTGACCTGGCTAAAAGCTCACAAGAGTAAATTTTGTGTAATATAGGACCTAAATTATCAGTCTACTACTTCGTCTTTTATGTGTATTGTGTATTAGAGACAGCCTTCAAACACACAGATACAACATGCCCTTTTTTATCCCAGGAAGCTGTATGTACATTTGATTCAACCATAAACATGTATTGTGAAATCTTTAATGACTAATGTGAAGGTCTGTTTAGAGACCTTGGATCTCTTATCATACCAGATTGCACATGTTGTTTAGTTGAGACAGTAATTGAAATTGCCTGTCAAATCTAATATTGAGCTTTAGCCCAATTGTATGGAAGAAAATAATGAACACAAGCAATCAAATCTCATTCAGATATTCTACTAATGCATGAAGGATTTCTCTGCATTCCCTGTACATGTCTGGTCATATTGTTCATTAGGATCATTTGCGCGAGCTGAGAAAGGAGACAGACCCCTGGAATGGCTAGATCAGATGCACTGTAGAAAAGTATTCGTATGTGTTGATTCCGTGATGGAACAGGCTGTACGGTAATTTTATTCATGTGAAATAAAAGGAAAAATAGATTAGAATATAAGAACTATTTCTATCTATTTCTATGTTGAACACTGTGGTAGTTTGTCTTGAAGAGGGAGATTTTTTTGGCGTTTTGATTTATGTGATCAAATGGTTGCATAAGCTTCCTTTTGATCAATGAACTCGCAGACCACAGTGTTCTCACAAAGCAAGTTATATTTGGTTCTGGCTATTTGATTTATTTATTTTTTCTCACTCATAGATAGGGCTGGGAATCACAGGGTCCTCCACAATTCTCACGATACTCGATGCAATATTATCACGATATGGTGATACATGTGATAATCGATATATTGCACATGATACTCTGTGATCTATTGTTGTTTTTTAGGAACCAAATACATTTTAGCAATAGGGATGAGTATAATTCAGAAGTTGCTGATACGACACATACCTCGATACGTCGGCCACGATACGATACATATTACAATACATATCTCGATACATTACACTTTTGATTCAATACGATATATTTCAAATCTATTCAATGCGGTTCAATCAATGATACTAAAAGTCTTTGTTAAACCACTTCTTGTGTGAAGTTAATATGAAACACACAGATTTTAATCATCAAAGCAGTAAAAATGTCAAATGCGTCACATAAACGAGTTTAGTTCCTCTGAACAAGCACCAAAACTGTAGCTCTGTAACAAAATAATTTAGTAAAATATACCAAAAGATCCTCTTGGCAATATATTGATACAGCAGTCCACGATATCAATACTGCATCATCACATTAAACAATACAATATATCACTATTTCAATATTTTTGCACACCCCTTTTTAGCAAATTTTTTATTTTTACTTCTTACCATTTCTTGTGCAAAGTTGATATGAAATGCATCTATTTTAATAAAAAAAAAAACACACACAGAATATGTTAGATGTATTGCATAAACAAGTTTCTTTACACTAAATAAGCAACAAAACTATAGAGCAGTCACAAAAAAAAGCTAAAAGAGACTAAAATATACTCTTGCTGATATATCGATACAGCAGCCCATGATAAATATACTGTATCACCAAATTTAGTATCATGATATACGGATATTTTTGCACACCCCAACTCAAATAGCATTAAATTTCATTATTATACATTAAAAATATAAATTCAAGAGGCTATAAGTGTAAAGATAAAAGGATAGTTTTGTGTTTGAAGATGATTTAATATTGTCTACCAAACTACAGCCTGTGCAGTGAGCTGTCTGTGACCATTTCTATTGTGAATTCGATTTGGCCGTGAACCCTGTTGCTATAGACACAAACTGGCTGGAAGAGAAACATCCACAGTGATTTCTTGTTTTATTTTGCCTTTATCTGGTGCCTCTGAGTGAGTGAGTTTGGACCATCTTTGTTCTGTCTCCTCTGACCTCTCCCTCTCATCTTCTCTCATTCTCCGCTCCCCTGAGGCTGATTGGATGTTTATGCCGATTGTGTCTTTATCAAACCATTTTCGCTAAAGTTTCCAGACTCGGGCCTAAAAGAGATTTTCAGAAAATGTTCCTTTTTTGTTTCTAAAGAGCTGAGTCTTTCCTTTAAAGTGACATATATCAGTAGGTTTTCAATATAATAACTAGAAATCGACAGATATGGGTTTGTTTCATGGCCGATATCGATTGCTTAGAATCCAGAGAACTCAATCGCCAATATTTTTGACTCATATGTGGGCGCAATTTTGATTATTTTGCCCAAATTCAAACCCACCCACAGCCACAAACCTATAAGAGAGTTGTAGTCATTTTTTGTGTAGTTTTTGTGTAGCTTTATGTGTATTCTTTAGAAAACAGGTCAGCCAAAACTAAATTTTGGCCTTTGTTGCTTGAGATTTAAAGCGGATACCTGATATGGTGAAAAAAGCAAATATATTAGTTTATGTTTAATAATAACTTCACAAATATTAACCTTTTAGTCTAAGTAGAGAAGGCTTTCATTGCTCTCAAACTGATAATGGCTTATGGATGGGAGCCAAAACGTTTACATTGCAAAAACAGATTTCCAGACCTCTTCTACATTGAACCACTCCTGTATCCTGTAGTCTAACCAAAACAAACTGATCAACAGGTTAAATTGTCTTATGAACCTAGCTCAAGATCCGGAGATTGGTCATTAGGTGCTATACAGGGATTATAAGTGTACTTTAAAGTAATCTTAACTACAGCCACCTCATATCACAACCAGTAGATTTCCTTTTAACACTGTAACGAGCTTGAACCAGTTTTTGAGCCCAAGGTCTTCTGTGTTTTGCTAAGCTGATTATTGTGTGATGTGGTACAGTGAAGTAGACCGAATAATGCAGCAATGATTAATAAGCTTAATAATAGACTCATAAAACATTTACAGCTCTTGTTTCTTACCACCTGAACCTTTTTAGTACAAAAATGCTATTGAATAAATACATCTAAAATGACATTTATTCTACTATAACCATGAGCAAAGTTGTGAAACAAACAAAAAAAAAACCTTCTCATGAAGAATCAGGATGTGATGATCAGTGCTGTGTGTGTTCCATGGTAACACAATGCACACATAAAACATTGTCTGAAAAAGAAAGAAGTACAAAATGGATTTTAATCACACATTTTCAGGAGCCTGTGATCAATACGAACATTCATGGTTTTGTTTAGGTGTTTGATTTTCAACAAAAATGGGCAGAGTGACAACTTAGGTAGTTTGTGACCATAATTGTATGTGTGAGAAACTTTTAATAGCACAAATTAGCTCACCTGTTGTAGTTCCAGCTAAATCAGTTCTTTGATGCCAGATTGTGTTAAAATAAAGATCAGATTAAAGTCTAACTTGAGTAACAAAGCTTCAGATTGAGTAGTACCTTCACTTAGAGTCACACCCTCAGATAATGTTGATTAGCCTGATTCATCAGCCGGTTTCATTTCATGGAAACCGTCTGACCTCGCAGCATTAGGGTTCGTTTGTTCGACGGCAGGAGGGTACTTTTTTATTTAACCAATCACTGCTATTTGGTGACGTATGTATTGCGCAAAATCCTGTAGAAAGAAGGGCAATAATGTCTTTCCTCTTAAAATAAAATAAAATTCACCGAACATTCTCTTTGTTATCAGCTTTAAATCTTCAGTCATGGGAATTGTTGCCAACACAGAATGTATGGCTTCATCTACATCCATCTTGCCAGCTTTGTTTACTGTTGTGCTGTACCACAAAAAGGACCCAGACAGGTGCTTGAGTTTGACGTCATGGCTTCACAGCTCTTCGCTGATTGGCCGTTGCGCGGTCTGCAACTTCCAGGGTTCTTGCAAATCGTCTACTGTATTCCAAAGACCTAGTCGCTGGAGAGAAATGAAATTGAGCAGGGGCACCTGGTGATGTCAGCCTGGGTAAATGTTTATTAACATCAGCTGCAAAGTGTCAATTAGAAGTTCTAAAATTTGGGTACAGCTCCTTTAAGTCCTTCTTCCCTATGCTTGAAATGCATTGTATTTATATCGATGTCAACATTTGCTCGGATGCTCAGCTCTTTGTTGTTTTTGTGTGTGCAGTTTGGAGGTGACACTGCAGAAGCGCAGTGAGGGGGCACTGTGGCCTGAGCTGGTGATGGGCGATCGAAGAGGAGAGTTAGTGATGAGTGACGAGCAGACGGCCCAGATCCACGAAAGACTCAAACACCTCACCTCAGAGGATCTGGTGAGGAGAGGAATTTAAATACATTTACTCTCTGAATATATTATCATATCATTTACTATAGAGACAGTAATTATATAATTTTTCTAAAAACAGATGAATGAACATATCTCTTTATACAGCTCCTTTCAATACATGGTTACAAAGGTCCTCATCCAACCCCCGCATTACCTGGAATCTTTTACAATTCAGTGGTTGTGTTTCACAGAAAGACAATTCAATTTGAGTTGTTTGTTTTCCCAGCAGCCCTCCTTTTGTGAAGTCTGTAGATTTACATTTCATTACGCCCTGTTTCCTCTGGGCCCTCTCTCCATCTCTCCTTTGTCACAATGGTCTCTTAGCTCCTTCACCTGCTCAGGGTATTTTTAGCCTGCCCCTCTTCATTAAATCCAGGTCCCACTTTAGACACGCAGAATCAGAGTGCTTTTACATGTTAATTAATGCAAATGAATTCCTGAGTTTGGCCTCTCTTTGTTGCCGTACCAGATCGCGACCTCAGACCTGGACAAACCGCCAGTTAACTCACAGGAGCTGGAAGACTGCGATGGCTTCCCTGATGACAGCTCCTCTCTGGTTTATTTTGATGGAGAGACGATGAAGCCTACTCTGGTGGTGAGTCAGACCTCTTCTCTTCTCCCATTGGACCTGGTATTTACTATTCAGGTTCAACAAGTGAGATGTATGCTAATGGGGCAGGATGAGATGAGACACGAGGTAGGGTCCATGAGAACGAATGAGATTTTGAAATAATTTATAATAACTGGATCCGTTCACAATTTTGGTGACATCATTTTTAATTGGTTTATTTTCCCTAAGCTATATGATGTCGTGAATGTGTTTTATGTGTTGATATAGTTATAAAAATAGCAAAATCAAGTCATTTTCTTGATGTTTTAAATGGCCTAAATGCATTAAACACTCTTTAAGCTTTAAACATCAGTTCTGCAGTGTAAATCTCTACATGCATCACTACTGATTATTACAATGTACTCAATACTCAATATCCATTACCCTTAATTTTTGATTATTAAAATTATAAGACTAAAACTGGACCAGCTCCTCTGTTCTCGCAAGATTGTTTTTCCCAAATGTGCTCAGGCATGGCAATTTGATTTCATCACATTCATGGACTGTATAAAGAAGTGGGCTCAGGGAGTGTGACGTCACCCACAGCGTTCGGCTCCAGTCAAATGAAGCTCATGATGCTAGCAGTTACAGGAGCAAATTTAGAGCCAGGTTCATATTAGGAATAGGATTTTTTAATAAAAAAAATAGTGAAATAAAAACACCAGGATCATGTAGAGCGGGTTAATACGAACAATATTCCAATGTCAATGGGAGCCAGGGTCAGAAGGAGCCAGAAGCGCCCGCATGCTAACTTTCTATTTGTAATGCGGTGGCTAGTGCGTGAGCTATGTCCGTTTATATTTATAGTCTATTCTAAGCACTTGGGTAACTTAAATGTGCTGTACTTGATTTGCACTGTCTTAAAAATGTTAAAAAAAACAAAACAAAAAAACTTAACTCACTTTCCTGACACATTCCTATCATACAAATTATTCACCACAACAGCCTTATTTGACCAATTGTCAGAGGCCAGAGCTGAGTTTTATCATTATGACAGTGCTAAGAAATAGCATGTGAACTCACTTCCAGGTTTGTGAATAATACATTTTATAATGAGATATGTATAAGTACACGGCGGCTTCATTTTTTTCCCCAAGAACTGCTTTTACAATATATCTATGCAGAGGCAAAGCTAAAATGTCCCATTTTATTGCATGAGAAAATCCTTTAAAATTGCTTCTGCAAGACCTAAGATTTTATGACAGGTTTCTGAGTAACTGCAGTAGTACTGAGACTGCATTTAAATATATACTTCTGTTTATAATTTCCCAAAGAATCCTGGTTTCTTCACCCCAAAAATCAAGAGAAAGGGGGATTTGTTAAAATTAAGACTTGTTTGTATCAGTGCTACATATATTTATATAAGGGACAACATGTTGTGAGTAAGGCCTGCAGCTTGTGCACATGTTCACACATAGATAAAACTCTCTGTAGCTCCTCCTGTGTCCTGTGTGCTTTATGGCCCCTTGTACAAACGTATTCATAAAGATAACAGGCTCCTGCACATTCAGACTGCCACAGCTTACAACTCACTACGTAATTTCATTCATAAATAATCAGAACAGGATTCAATCTGGAATTTCTAAAGAACATAGGACAATATTTTACTTACACATGATGGTTATACAGCGGGTTGTGTTAACAAATGTTGTAGTGTTCATATCTCAGAACCAAAATCTATGTCAAAGATGGGGAAAATGGAGCTAAAAAGATTTGAAAACATTAAAAAGAACAAAGTAAACTGGTGAACATGATGAAAATGTATATCTTGATATTTTGGGGGAGTTGTCTAAATGACTATATTCAGATAATATTATGGTCGTCTAGAAATGTGTGAAAACATGCCTGAATATGTCGATAAGTACTGTACAATTAATAGTGAATGAATTCTAATACTTGCCTCAAAAGTTTAGAAAGAAGACTTCATATCCTTGTTTAAAAGATAGCACTGTGCATGTATGTTGTTTTTATGTTTAGCCTTTATTTTCCAGCCTTTTTAAACAACTTTAATGCTTTTATTCAACAATTTTATAATTTAGTATCTACAATATAATTGTGTTTCATATTCAGCAGAAGAATCTCTCTATAGAATGCAAGGAAAATATTGTCTTGCTTTGCCTAGAATGTTCCACTGTGTACAAGACATTAAACTGCTTTATTGACATGTACTAAATCTTACGTATTTTATTATTATAGTATTATATAGTATATACCATTATAGTACAGTATAGTATATTGTTATTAGTGTGAATGGGGATGCCTCACCACAGATCCATATCTTGACCTATGGGCTCTATTCACAATTACATCACAAACCAGGAAGACATTTGGAAACATGAGATGACAACTTTCGGTGTAGTTACTGACACTGGACTCGCTGACTGACTGTGATAAAACTCACTGCAGTAATTGTCATCAGCGGTAAAATGAAGACTGCATACATATATCCAATGAGGTTAATTTGGTTTTGCGATAATTAATGTTATTAGGTTCTTTCTTCAAGGTGTCAGAGAGTCATGTGACCACTCTGAGGAAGACCACTAATGAGCAGTCGAAACTGTCAGGTATGAAAACAAACTCTTGGTCTGAAAAAAGAACCTAGTAACATGCATACGTATGTGCTGTTTGGAATCATCTTGAATTTGGCGCCCTCAGCTCTTCTAATCGCATGTACCCAGTGCGCTCTGAGTTGTGCATCAGTGGAAATGATGAAAACTGAGGTATGGTTTTAATTGTTGATTAGCCGAACATAACAGAACGCTACAATGACATTTAGATGAACAAAACTGGGCCATTGTCTAATTTTTCCTAGATTTTGTTAGACTTACTACCATGAACAGACAGAACAACGTCTCCCTGGTTTGTGACATAAGCGTGAATAGAGCCTATTGATGTCATCAGCTTGTCTCCATGAAGACTGATAGGTTAAATACTTTACTATGAAACATTCTAGGCAAAATTATAACATTTCAATGGCAACAAAGGAAGGATCAGAATGGTTTTCATATTGCTATAACAGTAGACCCTAACTCCTGTAAATGTATTTGCTGCCATACTTTGAACAGTCTGCCTTTTCTTATTTCCTGTTACAAAATGTCTGATATACATAGAAATACCAGACTTTTGAAAGCCTGTGCGTGCGAATGTAGTCTTTCACAAATGCAATCCCAGGGTTGCAAATCAAAATGACCCTGAATGAATGTGTCGGATGCAGCTGGAAATAACTTTAGCTTCTTAGGAAAAAGGTCGACATAATTTTACAAACACACAGGAAAATATCTTCAGTACGATGAATAAAAGATCATATGTTTTTTGAAAACAGTTGATTTACACTATTTTCTGATCTATGTTATAATGTTCTTTCCTCACAACCATACCTGGGGTTGTGTTTTGTCTTCATACACCTTCACTAGAATTATTTGGATAATCTATGATAAATTAATAAATAATTTGACCTGGAATTGCAAATCTCTACTGAACTAAAGGTTTTAAGCTCACAAGAGTTGATTTCAGATTATATAGGACCTTTAAATGGTGGTATCTTTGCTTTGTCTGTCAGAGGAGGCGACTCATTTGAACCTGAGCTGCTGAGGATTGATGACCTTTTCTTGATTACTGAGAGAGGAGACGAGCTAATTTCAGTCTGTAATCTGTGTTTACAAAGGGAGCGCACTTTTAATTTGTGAGAATGAGTCATCTCCTTTTCTGTCAAAGCTTTGTCTCTGCATATCTCCAGGCTTCTGATTTACATGTAATTCAATTTAGACTCATAGTATCTGCACTGTTGGCTTTTTATCCTTTGGTGTGAACTATGAAATGTATAAAGAAGTGGACTAAGGGGAGTGTGACGTCACCCACAGTGTTCGGCTCAAGTTTATTTACGGACAAAATAGCAAAATAAAAACACCAGGATCATGTAGAGGTCAATACGAACATTTTGAGACCAGAATAATGATGCTCACTGCATTAATTACAGAGAGAGTGGTGACAATTTTTCAAGTCAGTTGGGGTAGAAGTCGATGGAGCCAGAAACATCCCCATACTCACTTCCTCTTTGGAATGCAGGTGGGTAGCGGGTAAGCTATGTCCATTTACAGTTTATAGCATGAACTCAACAAATAAATAAATGAAATGAACTCAATAAATCTCTTGTTTTGGGAATATCAGCAATTCACGATTCATTAGAGCACTGCAAAACAGTTGTGGTTAGTTGTGTTTTCAATGTTACAAGGCGTCTATATAGCCAGCCTCTATGTCTGTTGTGTCCAAACTATGGCCCAGAGATGAAATGAGGCCCTCAGACCAGTTTTTTTTCTTGGTCCTCAATTGTCCCTAATGGCCGAAAGTAGTAGCCAGGCTGGCGTCACCTAGTGCCGCCGCTAAATTTAACTTCTCTCCGGCGACTAGGTCAGGAATCAGAATACACTAGATGATTCGCAAAAACCCCGGAAGTGTGAGTTCGGGCACCAGCCGATCAACAAACAGTCATACATTCTGTGTTGGCAACGATTCCAGAGATCAAGGATTTAAAGCCGGAACAAAGAGAATGTTTGGTGAATTTTATTAATTACAAATGTCACGACCAAATAGCAGCAATTGGTTAAATGAAAAAAAGTACCCGTCTACCATCGAGCGAACGAATTCTAACGGTCAGATGCTTTCTACAAAGTGAAACCGTCTGATGAATTAGGCTACAAAAGTAGTACCATTTACTGCAAAGTTAGAAAAATGCATCACAAACATTTTGATGTGATATAAGCCTAACACAAATAATCAAACTGTATTGAGGATGTGAAGACTCAGTCAAACCTACGTCAAATATAACATTTTGAATGATTCACTTCATTGTCCTGTCATCTGAGGTCGTTCGCTTTATGTAAGTTTCAATGCGCGTCTCTCAGTGAAAAAGATTTGGATTCCTGCTCTATATATTTCAATGGAAATATAAGCTTCTGTTTTGGATAAGTAACCACATCCCTATGAAC